CTTAAAATTTATCAGATATATGAACTAGTTTTTTCTCCACTAAACTTTAACGTCAGCCGAGTTTAGTTTGAAAAATATCCAGCAGAGACTATAATTAAATATCTTAAATAAAAAAAGATAATAACATATTTAGAAATTGATACTTTGAGTTCTATATGGAAATATTTTTATTAATATACACCCGTAAGTAGAATAAAGTAGTGAAATATCGTCTATCATTTGAGCAACTTTTTATTCTTTTCACTAAGCTTGTGAAATATTTAATATCCTTAATAGTTTTTTACTTTTCATAATATCTCTAAAGGGATATAAATTCCTTCATGGTGTTACAGATACACCTTGCTGGTGATTACCAACTATCACGAAACCTAGTTCCAAAGCTTTCTGTCTATTGCCTCCGACCATCTAATATATATTGTTCATTGTGGTGAATATATTAGCTTTCGTCTTCAAAATAGACTTCCCTTAATTTATGGTGCTCTTTCACTTCAGTAAGAGTAGAATTTCGACACTATGATACAATATAATTCTCTTTAGAGACACAAGTTTATAGAAAATCAACGCACACAGATCAAATACTCAACTATACTAGCAATAATCCAGTTACTCACAAACGAAACTGTGTGCAGACATTGTTTAAAAGAGTTCAGACACATTGTAGCACTCCAGAGTTGAAAAGAATGGAAGAAAAGTACCTACAAACAGTCTTCAAAAAGAATGGTTATCCACAAAATTTCATCAAAAAGTGTTTAAAGTCGAATCAAAACACCAACAAGAAACCATCATCAAAGACCACAAGGAAATTCATTCTACTATACATGAGGAATATCTCTGAAATAACAGCCAGAATACTGAAACCATTAGATATAGATATAGCACACAAACCAGTAAAATCGCTTAATTCGCTATTATGCAAACCAAAAGATCCAACAGTAAAAGGGGATAAAATTAATACCATTTACAAAATAAATTATATGAACTGCAACAAACATTACATCGGCCAAAGTGGGCGTCCCCTTCGAATCAGAATCCAAGACCATAAATCAGCCGTGAAAAGACACGATATATATTCTTTAGTATCAATGCATATAGACAATTATGGTCATCAATTTGATTGGGATCATGTCAAAATCTTAAACAGAGGAAACACGAAAAGTGCCAGAGAATTCCTAGAAGCCTGGTACTCAAGCGAAAATGCAATTAACAAACACGTTTATTATTATTATTGTTCCCTTGGGTTCCTAGTGGAACATAGGGCTTCAATAACAAACACGTTAATATAGATGAAATATACCAATTAATAAAAAGTAAATCAGGTGACCAAAAAGTTTAAAATCCAAGTCAATAGAAAGTGGTCAACATATGTAAAGATAGTAACCAGGAGACGCAATTACATCACGCACGAAGAAATTTAAATCATTTCACTTTGTGCTAAATATGGCGCTGAAGATGTTGTCCAGAAGGACGGCGAAAGCTTCGCAACTAAACCAACCAGCTCAGAGAACACTTTTAATTGCAAATATAATTTTCTATTAGATCCGTTTATCTAATATAACACATAATGATACAGTACTGGTTAATGGATGACCCAGTGCTTGAAGCATCACTCAGTTAATAATACTGTGTCACCAGCAGTTATATCAAATAAACTTATCTAATAAGTCTTGCATGTTGTGGCATTCACTACCACACACAAACACAGACAAGCACACACTATATATATTATTCATCCGTCTATTATGCAACTTGTATCGTTACATTAAATGTAGTGACGTTTTTGAGAGTTGTTCACAATGAAAGCTTAGCAATCAAACTGTTCAGTCTATAGAACACAATAACACCGAAAACGTCTACCCAAACTACAATTCTCCACTGTTTCACGTACAGATATCTCATAAGAATCAATCAAGTTGTCAGATTACTTATATAACACTCACTTCTTAAGGTGGATGCAATGAAACATTTTAAACTGCTTACATGAGCACTACCATATATAAAATATTTCATTTAATCCCAAAGTCAGTATTATGGTAACGTAAGGTGATTCAGAAATTCTGAACTGTCGTATGTTTCCATGTTAACGAAAATTTGTAAACGGTTCGAACGAAAAAATCCTGCCGTCTGGATTTGATAACATCCTTAATTTAATTTTTAATTTTGATTATAGCTTGATTCCACGCCGTATTTTTGGTACAAGTATGGAATTTTCAGCATGTGATATCGGTAGCCCAAATTTCGCAGGCCGACCATTGATACCAGGTGTGCGTTGGCAGAGGATCGAACTCTGGACATGTGCATGGCCGGTGAGAGTCCTAACCACTGTGCCACCGACGCACATTTAAAATTGATGTGTTGATTTAGTCGGTACTAATAATAACACTGCAACTAGGATTCAGTATGAGAAGACAGTAAGTAACTCATCAGAAACCGAATACCGATACATATTTCCAATCACACCCCACGCAAATAAAAGTAGAAGACAGACTGGTCCAAAACTGAGATAACAAATCGATCTTTATTATAAAAAAATACATTATGTACAAGCAGTAAGTACCTCGGAAAGTTAAGCCAATAGATAGATAATTTGATTGGCTACATAAATTCGGGCTTCAAGCCTATCAGATGGCGTTATAATAAATAGTCTACCTTTGCCTGATCATTTAAATTTTTTCAAATTGGTTCAAGTTGTTTTCAGCCTGTACTATCTGGCATTAAGATTTAGAGAAATCAGGATTATATAAAGTACATATGGTGCTATTTTTCCTAGATAAAAAGAATATTCATTTCTACCTACTCTTAAATAAGACTTGCTTAAATTTCTGACAATTTTCTGGTTAAATATTCTTTCCCTGCATATGTAGGTGTGCGTAGCGCTTGCTTTTGCAGCGCATAGTTTGTAAACTCAAGAAGACATAAACCAAATTTCATTATGTTTTCAAATGAAGTCCTCCTCATCTCTGATGATAGTTAAATCCCTTACGAATCACTAAAGCTTTTTCTCTTATCCGATTACAATAGCATACTTTCATACACACTTATTTAATATATACAGACTAATGAGTGTGATTAGTCAATGAGAATGCAAATTTTTTTCTACCACATCAAGCATACGACGTTATTTAGATCAAGCTTTGTAAATTACTGTCTACTACTCACTTAATCCTCTCTAGAATATTTCAAAACAAGCTTTAATTCATTCTTAGTTGTAAAATTTGATAAAGACTCCCTTTTTGCAAAATTGGTCGTACTTCATAAGAAAAAACTTTTATGAAAGGACCTATATCGGTTGAAACAGTAAGTGTGTTGGTTAAACAGTTTAAATAAGTGGTCTAATTTGATTAAGTATCCTTTTTTAAAGTGATTGAGTTATTGATTAGAAAGCAAGATATGCTTTACAGACAAATCATTAGTTGGATATTTGACAGGCTGAGCATGATTGAAATTACTGTAGTTTATCCACCAAGAAAAACAAAACAACCATTTCATGTTGTCTGTTGTATGCCAAGTGTTTTAAGTTCATTTGGCGAGGTTATATGTACCTCGAAGTAGAAAATCCATTATAAAACCCTAGACCTATTGATTACTTGACATGAAGAAAATAAATGAAACTCATCCAATAAAGCTGCAATCAAAATAATGAGCTTGAAATGTACTCAAGGATGAAACAGTGTACAACTTAAGCTCTTTAATTAACTAATTATCTTTTTTTCCTTTTCATCCCTTTACTTTCCAAGTGGAACATAATGCTGCAAGCTTTAAGCTTGAAGTTTCAGTACTAGTAGTGGTGTTTTCTTAAGGGATGGGCTTCTCTAACCCAACCTTCCGTCTTCACCCGGCTTACTACCAGCTAGGCGAAGTTTAGGAATGCGTCGTCTGGGAATCAAGCCCGAAATACGCGCGTTGTTGGCATGAATTCTACCATGAACCACCAATGCGCAGTTCATGGAGTGTAGATATTATCTATTTGAAGACATAAACTTTTTAACTCTATCCTTAAAAATAAAGCCAGTTAGGGACAAGATTGAATAACTTTCATTGACGCAAACGATTACTATTCTAACTTTCATTTCAACTGAATACTTAATTATTCAAGTGATTTCTATAAGGATCTTGATAACTGTGGAATCGAATTCATCCATTCGGAAATTGCACAGTTTCAGGTGAGAATTCACCACAGTTTCCTTCGGCAGCCAAGAATATTCACATGACAATTTGTGGTCAACTTTATATCATAAATGTAAATCTTGAATGCAAGTAAATTAACATCATAGTCTGTATTGCTTATTGATATGACTACTTGTAAATTACTAACATCAACCAGTGGTGGTCACTAGTCATTTGGAAGTGATCTAAATGCCCGAAAGAATGTTTTGCTCTTTTGGGGCCGACATTACCAGAGGATTATCCGCAACGAGTCATGTAAAAAACAACCGAATCCCTTCAAACCACTTGAGTTCAGATGGTTTGAGTGATTTCCAGCCAATTATATCAATCAGTAGTATATATCATCATGTTTTTTTTCCTTCACGTTCCCCAGTGAAACATAGGGCTTCAAGCTAGTGGCTTGAAGTTCCTGTAGCAGTGTTTATTTTACAGGATGGGGTTGCTAGCCTCATGCCCAACCTTTCCTCTTCATCAGCATTATTTCTGGCTTAGCGAGGTAAAGGAGTGCGTCGGTGGCTGGGGATCGAACCCCGGACCATGTGCATGGTAGGCGAGCGTCCTAACCGCTATGCCACCGACGCACGTTATGTTATGTAGATAACTTTAAAATAATTTTAGCACAAAGAAACTTGATAAGTTTATTTTTTTTCATTGGACTGCTAACTGAACCACACAAATCTCTGTCATTAGCGAGAACAAAGAAGATGAATGACTAAGACCTCAAGTTGCAACCTTCACTTATTAATTTACTATACCTTTCTACTTGGTTTTTAATGTTTTCATTCAATAAACCAGTGTAAGTCATTATTCACAGATTCACTGTTTTTAATTTTCAGACTTGGTCCCCTTATTCATACAGTACGCCTTAAAGCTTTGGCTGCATCATCTTCACCTGGAGGTATACTGGGGCCACCATCGGCAGCAGCAGCAGCAGTTCACTCGAATACTGAGTCTTTCCCATCGGCTGAACTATTGGCAAGTATTAATAAAACCTTAAAACTCTGTGAACTAGCATTTTATGATAAAGATCCAGTAAAACTTGGCGAATTTTTAAAGTCATGTGATTCTATGCAAATGGATCCAAAGTGTCAACAACCTGGATCAGTGACTATCAGCCAGCTTGTAAGAGCAATGAAACTGACACCATTTTTAAACCCACAAATCAGTAAATGGATTAAAGGTAGGCACTGAGTTTTTGAAGATGATATAATATGATTATTGTTGTTCTTAAATATCGGTACCTATGGCAGCTAACACCATCGATGAATTCAGAATCAAATAGTGATACATTTCGAATTGGATCACGGATTGACATTAGTTAGTGAAATTTTGGAAGCCAGGGAGCACCAAACAGCCGTTTCATCTCGGTTTGGAACTCTTCATCAGTAGGCACCATCACCATACCAAGTATTTGATTCAGAACCTTCAGGTTACGAGATAAACTTTCTGACCATTCAGTGACTAGGATGGGATCCAATGGCCCATGAATTCTAACTTCTACCAATTCACAATATGTAATGCAACTGGCAGCCAGTGTCATAGGCGAGTATTTGTCATCACACCTGACCTCAAGGAAACAGCTGTCCAGTACTCCCTGGTTTTTAATGGTTGACCAACTGACATCGTTTCGTGATCTAAGTTGAAACTAATCAAATCCCTACTACCCAACAATTGAAAACTTGATATCGTTAAAATTTTATTTAGCAGTAATTGTAACTTTAGGTGACTGCATACTCCTAATGGTTTTCTTTATTGTATCTAGTATCTTGTACTACGAAACTTTCGATTAACATAAATACATAAACTTTGAAGTTATAAAGCTCTGCTAAAATCTGCAGTGATGGACATACACTTTATGCTCTAGTGTTAGTTAAGTTGTGTTCTTCTACATTACAGTGAAGTCACGGCACACTGGCCACCTTAAGATTTCCAACTTAGTGTTTTTTAATAACTAAGGTGAGATAGTACAAAAACTGATGAAAAAACACAATCTCATGCCGATATTCCCATCTGCCTTTCAAATCCATTTATCTACAGAACATAAATATTTAATTAAAAGGTATTGAAGCGAATGACTGCTTATAAAGCAATTTTTGTTGCAATATGTCTCATAGTGTTAGAAGTTTCAAAGTACAGGCTATGAGAGGCATACCCAATAGTTGCATAGCAGTATGCCTGTTTAAGAGACTGAACGGTGTTCTGCTGGTTGTTGACGATACAGTGCATATCTACTGATGAAGAGCCCCAGACTAAAAGAAAGCAGCTGTCAATAATTCTTTAATTTCTTCTGACATTTCAACAAAGCTGATTTTTTAAGTCCTTGACATTTAAAAGGAATACATATTTTTAAGCAACTTGGAATAAAATGATCTACTTGGTCAAGGTCAGAGTCATAATTGATATAATCGGAGTGACTTATGTTACTGTGCAGAATCAGTTCGAACAACTCGAAGGATGCCAAGGGTTAAAAACAGTTCATTATTAATCGGTAGCATGTACTGCCTTGAATTTTGTCTAGCTCACAAGGTCTCATTCATTGTGTGAAGTGATTTTTACACTGTTATCTAGATATTTAGGAATTCGAATGCAAACTGCAGTGAAATCTCACCTTGAACAGGATACTTTACAGATAGTTAATTCCCATTATATATGATAATTGAGAGAAACTGCCCTAAATATATCATGCGTTAATTAGCAATGTTTTAAGTAGCATTACCCTGAAAAAGGAAAACTCAGTCAAGGATGAACATGTATCCTGGATTCACGATGATCTCATGTAGCAATAACTAGAGCTGCAAAGGAAAGTAAATACATTAAGTTGTCCATTTGTACTAAATATATTGTTTACTGGTTTTATTCAGTAGCGAAAAGACAAAGAAAAACAGCTCCTAATAAAGAAATGCATGACTACCTCATTTGGGAATGACCTTCTACCTTTTATCAGAAATAAGAGCTACAGAAACTGTTGATGTAGCTATCTGAGGTGGTCTTCGACTCGTAGAGTGATATTTATTTCATGAGTGAAAATGAATTAAAAACTCAGCTACCCCTTGGTTTTCAGGTAGCTCATAGTTCTCTTAACTGTGTCAATGCAACTCTGAGCCATTTAAATAAAGATAACTGATTCGAATTCTTCTGCAGTTCAAGTTTCTATCTTGAATTCATTTGTCAACCATTACAGATATATGTATGTGAATGATAACGTGATTTTTTAGTTAAAAGACACCACAAAAGTTAAATGGAACATAGTAGACAACACTTATAAGTATCACCTTAGCATATGATTTCAGACACCTTAATATACAATGCAAATGAAGTAAAATAGGATTGATTACCTGTTACATTTGTCTAATTACGACAAGTAGAAACAGTTTGATTATGTTTAAGTGGTGGATGGTGACTAGCAGTGGAATCCAGGATGCGCATTTTGTCCTATCTGGGACTCGTCATCTGGATTTACCTGCATTCTTCAGTGAGCGATGATGTTCCCAAGCCTACATGTCAACCTGAGACCAAGCACTTCGGTCCAATCAGTCGACGGGAAAATCTAAAATTCAATAAAATAGTTTGATTAGGTGTATTCAAGTAATCAGATTTTAAGTATTCATCAAGTATTTGCAAGTGCAACTTTTGAACTGAAGATAAAAAGTATAAATGCATCCTCTTTTCTTACTCATTTTCTGTAGAAGTACTGTTGCCGAAATGGAATATTCTCGAGAATAATATTGAACAGAAAGGTATGTAATTTTTAGTTCTCATTTTTATCATTTTTGTAACTATTATAATAATAATTATTATCCCTCTAATTATTATTACTACTGATAACCTTATTAAAAGACAGAGTTTATCTGAAAGGAGCTAATTTGTTATAAATATTATTATCCACTGTAGGATTTCCTTGTTTCTTAGTTTTCTTGTCTTTTTTCTTATAAAATATGGATAAACACTATATACTACTAACTAACTGACATGAGTAATTGGACACCACTCACATCAACCAGTAGTGCTTGCAATCCACATCGAAGTGATTTAACCACTGGACAGCCATTTCTTCCGTATACATCAATATACATCAGTGCTTGCTTTCTGGATTGCTGTTTGTGGTATTAAGCAGATTACATATTTTGATCTAAATAATTTCGGTTTCCAGTGGAAACTGAGGTGTAACAGTTACCTCGGAATGTGTGAATTGCAAACAGCAAATCTGATTGATAAAAACTGGTTAATATATACAATGTAATACAATTTATTTTATTAAATTGTAATGAAGCACAGCACTTTTCTTTCGTAGAATCACATAAAACATATTTACAAGCCCAAGTCCAGTATGCACCATATTTTTATCATTGGCTTTAATGGCCTTTTAGATAGAGATTTCAAATTAACTTAATTTGTGCATAAGGATGAATTTTTATCACTTTTTTTAATATAATTAAATTAAAAAAAGACTTTATAGAATTTGAAATCCTGAAACTGTAAAAGTTTAAAATATTCTCTACAACAGTGTTCACCACCTGTAATTTTTGAAAGCAGATGAATAATGATTGAAACACTTACCGTAAATTCACTAGACTTTCCTACTGTTTTTTACTCGCCTTAATTTCAAATAAATATATGATATATTTTTTAAATGTATATTTAAATGAATGCTTTATCTGCAGAATAATTCAAGATTTTTTAAAAATATTCACACTACCTTTAAAATATGATAAGTAGAATAAAAACAAACTACATTCCAAGGATTGAACATTGAAGCAATCGAGATTTTACCTTAGTTGGATGCTTTTGGTGTTGTTGTGTTCTCTTAGTTGAATGATTTAAATGTTAGGTTTTCATTGCCTTTTCAGACATTGAAAATTTAACAGTTGAACCACTCAGCTCACAGACCAGAACAACACCAAAAAACTATTGCATATTGTATGTAGTGTAAAATGCTACACTCAAATATGATACTTGTACGTTCTTCTTTATTGTACAAATTAGAACTTTTATAAATTGCTCATTGGTTTTCCATCGTAAAGACTTAAATCTCAAACATAAACGTTTCTCATTTAAGTGAAATAATATTGCCTTTCGGTACCGAAAATAAAAAGCAGAGAGGAACTCACCACCTTTTATTCCCTAACAGCATGAAGTTTTATAAAATTAAGACAAAATTAACATGATTATCTGAATAAAACAGTCCATTTTATATTTACAGAGGTTGACCTTTGCCTTCAATAGATCCATTCAAACTGAATTTGAGGATAGTTACTCACTGATAGGGAAAGGTAATCTGAATCACTGGAATCATAGGCTATGTATGAGCCAATGAACTCCAGTCTAGTGACTAAACAGTAAGACGCTTGTCTGTTATATTTATTTAAACTTTAATTGCCCATCCACATCGTATTTAGTATTACTCAGTTTCTCCTTTGACAAGATTTTGGTCTATCATTCTGTTCTCGCTTATTCTCATCGCTTGGATCATTATTACGCCACTAAATGATATCTGTCACAGAGTCACTAGACAACTAGCAAAGTTAGAAATCATGGGTCACAGGGTTATAGTCCTCAAACCTTGTAACTTGAAGCTCCGAGGTCTGACCCATTGTGGGGTGGTAAGTGCGTAATGCTTAACAACCCCAAACTAGGACAAAACGGTAGTCAAGTGTTCTGTGATACCAGTTAGTGACTGAATCTAGCTTGAAGTTATCCACAAACTCTTAAAGCCAACAGGTGAAAATAACAGGTGGTTCTCTGAAATGTCTTCCCTTAAATATTTTTCAATTAGTTATTCTCTAAATTTTATATGGTATAAACTTTATACATGAATCGATGGAGTCAGTGTATTTTGTAATTTTATTTCACAGAAAAAAAGCCAACAAGTTCACGAAGTAGTCAACGTTCACAGAAGCATAATGTGAAACACGATCTACCTAATCCCACCGTTGTCAGAAGAGAATCACTTAGATCTTCTATATTGAAACTGAAGGCAAGTTTAATTTTCTTTGTTCACTAATTTACATTTAATAAATTTGATAATATTTAGTTATATTTACCTTCGAAGATAGACAGAATATGAGGTGACTTAGGTTATTCCTCACAAAAACTTTAGTTCCAAAATAGATGTTTCCCTTGAGGGACATATAATACGTCAACGAAAAATAAAGGCAGACAGTTTCACCCAGTTCTAAGGTAACATAGCGTCTAACAGAAACACAGCATTTAATTCAATTTAGATTTTCCCGTCGACTGATTGGACCGAAGTACTCGGTCTCAGGTTGACATGTCCGCTCCTTGTTCAGATGCTTTGATGATGTCCAATCAATCGACGGGAAAATCTAAATTGAATTAAATATTTAATAAGACCCGCTGCACAAGAGGTGGCTCTCGTGTCCCAAGTGGTCTGGTGGATAACGCTTTGGCGTTTGAAACTATGGGCACTGGGTTCGAGCCTCGATGGGAACACCATCACTTACTGGGGAATGCAGGTACATCCAGATGATAAGCCCCAAATAGGAAGAAATGCGCATCCTGGATTCCATTGCTAGTCACCATCAACCAACTGGCTTCAAGAAATACTACATACCCAAAGAATTAGAAATTTTAAAAAATCTTTAAATCTGCATTACTGTACATTTGTATAAACAACACGTCATATACACACGACTGTTATCAATTGCATCATAAGACACTGTATTCTAAAGTACTCATTTCTTTAAAATTCGCTAGTATCTGTCTGCAAACCATGGGCTTACACCGCTTCAATCGTTAGCTTAACCTCTAAATCAAGTTCACTAATCTATTCTACCAAGTTCCTTTTCAAAGAAAGAAACATTTAACTTAATGAGCTCACAATAATTTTCACAATTAACAGTTTAACGTTTAGATATCATACCATGTTTCATCAATCTTGTTTGTTCTTAAACCGAGGTCTACACTTACTAGTGTAACGACAGAAGACAAGGGCCAGGCAACAGATCGTTTATTTAGGAAATCAACAGATATTTATAGATTTTCATGTACATTATTATAGATTATTGTAAGCAAACAAACACAGTCTTCTGATTGGTGGTTTCTCGCTGAACGTTAATCTTTCATCTCTTTGTGGCCGTTTCTTAGTTAATTGCAAATTGTATCCGCCTACGCAAAGTCTGCTGTGATTGGTTGTTGAGTCAGTCTTTGTTCTTATTTTTCTCATGACCAATATTGGGGACGTAAACATTGACGTAAATTACTATCTACCAATTTTGGTTAGCAGCCAGCCCTCACCACACCAGTACATAATGTACATAGTTTGAATACACTTAGTCTTCTTGTTATAAAATTAACAAAACGAGTAGTGTTTTTCTCTATCATCAGTGGAAGCTCCACTCTACTCTGAATACTCACACTTGAGGTGTATGAATATAAAAGCCTGTAGTAACCTTTATATCTAGTGCTAGAAATATTTACAGTCATACTTTGCATTGCAGTTATAAAATATACAGATGAAATTAGGTTAGTAAATGCGTAAATGAAATGTGAAAACCGTTTTTATCGCCATCAGTAAAAATATTATAATCTAAGAGTAGGGCGATTAAACAGCATGTCGAATACTCCATAAATTACTCTTTTAGGTGATAAATCAGTCGAGAAACACAGCACTGCAACCGTTACTGTCTTTTAGGAACTAAAACTTGGCTATAAAACTTCTTCACTTTCTAAAAGTCACGCTGTCTTTTGAGGAATTGACGTTAGTCTTCAGTATTTTCACACTGACATTCAAATTGTGAATATTATTCTGTTTAAAGACGCAAGGTAACATCAAGTTGTTCATAATAATGAAACGTCTGAAATCCATCTTAACTGTCATTTATGCACAATTAGTGGAAGAGGTCTTCATTCAACTGCAACATTATACTGGGGTCTTCAACAGATCACTTTTTGCAAGGCATATTATATTCTTTTACCATTGTCTTTCATCAGTTTCTCTCACAGCTAGACGAATTTCAGTTTATGATTGTAGTCAAGTTGTTTACTGTATTCTTCGCTACAAGCTACAAATTTGTGACAACACCTTGTGTATTGGTAATTAAAAGTGCACAAAAAATAGCACAATAAAGACTGGAGAAACTATATTGTATCTATCGAATGAGTACAGTTTACTTAATTACTAATATTGTAACGACAGAAGACAAGGGCCAGGCAACAAATCATTTATTGAGAAAATCAACAGATATTTATAGATTTTCATGTGCATTATTATTCGTTATTATTAGCAGAGAAACAGGGTCTTCTGATTGGTTGTTCTCTCTCTGAAAGTTAATCTGTCATCTCTTTGTGGCCATTTCTTTGAAGGTCAGACCATATATCTGCTAATCGTATCCGCCCACGCTAAGTCTGCTGTGATTGTTTGTTGAGTTAGTCTTTGTTCTTGTTCTTTTCTCATGACCAAGATTTGGGACGTAATAATAAATTGCTGTCTACCAATTTGGCTAGCAGACAGCTCTCACCACAATATAACTGCCTCCCCAAGGAATAATCACACAATAATATTTTACTTTGATCGTTTGTTTCTCGTGCTATTCATTTTCTTCTTTAACTTTTAGGAAACGGTACCAAAGAAACCACTGAATCAGTTTACAGTAGATGAAGTATGTCATCTAGTTGAAAGAATAGTTCTGTTAACTTCGAAACCATTTATGAATGATACAATGAATGAGATGGATTCAACATTAAATAAACGATTAAGCTCTGAAGAATCTGAAACACTTATCAATGATCCAATACCACCAGCAGCTGTCAATACAATAGTAGATCATGGACATACATCGTCAAACATTAAACGTTATACAGATTCTATGAGAAAGTTAAATATTACAGGAAGTGTATTAGACTTGTGTTCATTAAAGGATTTAGAAGCAAAGCTTAATATGTTACCTACTGACTGGAAAATGTTTTGTGCATTTATACAACATTTAAAGAAAACAGAAAGTGAAGAAACAATTTCAACAAAATCACGCAAATCAAATGAACAATTCACTGCACCATATCAACTATTACCTCAGAGTCATCAAAATACAACTCAAGTATCAAGCCATAAATCTATAGAAACTGATAAATCTTCAGTATTATCAGAAGTTAGAAAAGATCAGTTAATGATGAATACAGTTAGTGATACAAGTTTGACAGTAAAAAGTGCTCCACTTACAAAGGACTATCAGTTCGACAGTGAGTTAAATTTAGTTGATCATGGTTACGATAAGAAGAAAGATGGAATCACTACAGCTCAAATTCGTGCAAGCAAGTCAGGAGATAGTAAACACGCTTCAGAAAATAATATTCATGTACCATACTTTAGTTATACGAATGAACTTCCTGAGCACAATGATTACCCATTGCATCATTCAAAAATGTCTGAACGACCGGTTCATAGTGTCCTGCCACCTTGCACTAAATATCAGTCAAGGATAGATCCAAACATTATAACTCAACAGTCAAGACATATGCATTATAATAATAAAATTAATAAATCTCAATATGAACTGAGATCTAAACCTTGTCATGACAACATTCATCCGCATTCTCATCACAAGTTGAGGAACCAGAAATCACTAGGATCTAAAGTAATTTGTGATCAAAATGAATGTGATTGTTACCTGCATGACTCAGCATTTCCAGATGATACAGGAGTACATCGGGCTTACACACTACCTCATTCCTTACAATTTTATCACCAGAAACAGTATAAACCACATATGCATGATTATGCATCCCATTCTTCACGATCACCAAACGCTGCAATTTGCAGTCGTCATCATATGCCGACAGCAGGAAATAATCTTGTGCCGTCAGCAACAATGCAAGAATCATTGCTAACTGATCATTTAGAAGTAACAAGTCAAAAATGTATGCAGTGTAAATTTCCACTGCACACAGAATATCACCAACATTACTGTATTCATCAACAATGTATTCCGGATTTTTATAATTCACATCATTTAGTCAATAAAAGTGCCGCTTATTTGCATAAAACTGCTGAATTCTTACATCGTCCCTTAGATCCATCGAACATTCATAACCATGATAATAAAAAGATTACAACGTCAGTAACACGTCAATTCAATGCAGCTGCTGATTATCCAGCACCATGTGTAAAGGATTCTGCCTCTACTTCATTAGCCGGTGAACTAGGTGATGAAGTGGCTGATATGAGTCAAATAAGTAATGAGGAGGAGAACATAAACGAAACTTTTGTAATTACGGATGAAAAATTGGAAGTAAGAAGACTTAAACAAGCTTCGATTCCTTCAACTCCTGATACGATTGCATATCAACAACCATGTGACTGCAATTACTGGTATGCTCATGAACAACAACAACAACAATCACACCGACATCTACATCATGACCACTATCCAGTAAAGCAGGCGACAGATATACAGAACCAAACTTCTGATCAGATAATTAATTCTGCAATGGAAAGAGAGCAGATAAATTCCAGTTTAGATACACTCAGTACTACAACAAATAGTAGTAGTGATAATAGTAGTACAACTAATCTTAGTAATGAAAACGCCAGTGAACATAGTCAGTTGGATGTTAATAATTCAGTTGATAGTTGTGATGAAATTACATCGGAATGTTCTAGTGATAATACAGTTAATTCAAAATGAAAATCTACTAAGCCATTTCACCAATAGAAACTACATCAAAGTCTCTTATCCAAAACAGCAGTTGAATCTAATGGATATATCCTATGTGATATATGCTAATTTTAACAACAGACACTTGTAAATTTAGGACTTAGATAATAAAAAATTTCAACTATATTTCCTACTAATAACAACCTACTGTAAAAAAGAAACTAGACATGAAGTCAAGTGAAGTTTTGATTCAAATAAAAAAATTGCTTAAGTGAATAAATATATACACTTTAATGTTTTCGGTTATTGTAACTTCAAGTATGCTTGTTTATGTTTTAAGCTGACCACCTTAGTAATGAGTGATCTGCAAATGCATTTATAATCTCCTTATCTTTGTTTTTCGGTAAATTTATCTTCCAAAGTTGTACTGCTTGTAAAATGTTTTTAAAATAAATATTACTAAACATAACGAATTCACCATTTAATTCATGATATATATGTATACATATGTTCAGTGTTTAGTTAGTCCGAGGACTTATTTCAGACTACAAGCTGCTCAACAATTTAAGATTAATTGTCATCTTAAGAAAGCTAGGAAGGTAGCTCTACACAACATTTTCACAATGGCATTTGCATTAACCATGTAGGCAACTATTAACAGAGCTACACCAGTACATTGACGGCTTCCGTAGTTCAGTGGTAGAATACTCACCAGCTACGCAGTAGTTCTTGTTTAGATTAGTAGACAACTATCTGCTAAACCTCACCTATCAAGTAGCAGGCCTTAAAAAGAAGGGAAGGTTGCCATGAGATTAGTAAACGAACCCTGTGAAAACAACAGCATCATCAAATATTGAAGTCCTGTGACACAATTTAGACGGGGGACAGCGGAAATTTAAAAAATATTAAGAAGTCTGTGGCATGTTCTACTGACAAGTGTTCATAAGTAGCATATTGTGTATAATGTCTTTAATAGGCTCACCAGTTTACCTTGGATATTCGTCACCTATTTGGGGCCAACAACACCCCTACAGATGCTTTGTCACAAATCTGTTCCCTTGTTCATACACATGGCATGCACCTTGTGAAACTGGCTCGTCCTCAAAAAAGGGTACTAAGCATCAACATCTCTTGCCGTAAGAACTCTGGAATTATGTGAGAAACCGTTGGGTATAGGTAAGGACACTATCCTCTGTAACATTTCTACAAATACTCCTTGTCTAGTTGGGCCTAACGTTTGTCGACGTAACGTCTTCAATACGCTACAGATCCAATTTCACCCAGTAATTCGAACTACTCTCAAACTCATCACTTCTAGGTTCTGTTAGCTTATTACAAAGAAGAAAGTAGTGCATTGGGCTCTTATGTGTCTAGCTTGAAGAGAGTGCACAGTAATAGGGCTTCAAGCTTGTGGCTTGAAGTTTCTGAAGCAGTGTTTATTTTACAGGATGGAGTTGCTAGCCTTATGCCCAAACTTTCCTCTTCATCAGCATTATTTCTGGCTAGGAGAGGTAAAGGAGTACGTCGGCCGGAGATTGAACCCCGGACCATGTGCATGGTCGGCAAGCGTCCTAACCGCTATGCCACCGACGCACGCACAGTAATAAGACGTAACAAATTTCCTCCTCCTCTTATTCTAGATTCGCGTTCCGGCCACATCTGTATAGATTTGATTAAACCCCATCAAGAATCTCATGTTGCTCGTATTGTTCGTTATACTAAATGGCCCAAAGCAATACTTTTCAAAGACGTGCCTTCTGAAACAGTCGCTTGCATTTCCGTGAAAAGATGAATTGTAAATTTTCATACGCCCATCCCCCATAACGACCCACAGTTGGCGGCAATTAGAAAGTGGCCTATTCTTAGCTTAGACTAAACTCCTATGTGGATTGTGTTCATAACTAAGGCCTTCTACCCTGAAGCAAATAGTATGGTATGACATTTTCACCAACATCTGAAGCCTGGATCAGCAGCCTCAGAAACTCTACATTGGAGTGATTCACCACCTTTGGCCTTCCTTGGCATTAGAAACACGCTGAAAACTGATGCTGCCTGTACTGCTGCTGAGCTAGAAAACAGTTTCCTGCCAACTGTATATAATGCCTCGTACATCAGTGGGCTCACGAAAACGATGTGTTCAATTAGGCCTGCTCCCTTTTGACGTCAGTTCATAAGTGCTTTTGTCCGCCATACCTAAAATCTCCTGCAACAGTATTCGTTCCCCATGATTTGATACATCGACCACTGGAACTCCTATATGATGGACCATATAAAATCATTAAATGCATGGATAAATTCTCCATTCTCGAGAAGAAAGGCCGCGAAGACTGGGCTAGTACCAGTCATCTATGGCTGGACTACTAACACGGCGATACAATGAGCCCTTAAACAGTCGTTCCAAATGAGGCATGGCTGCCTGAATCTCCGCTAGTACTCATAGTAGTAGACAGTATTGCGAAAGCAGCCAGGACCTCCAACGAGATGGCAAGAAACACTTTATGGAGGAACTTTTGGGTCCCCAGGGTACCTTCATAGTTACCTTACAAGGTAAGGCGGATGTGCCCCTAATTCTTTCTAAAAAAAATATGCTCATGATACTTAATTCTATTCATGTGGATCGTTTTTCACTATGTCATGCGTTGTTAGTTAAATGTAATTCTTATGAATTAACACATGTCTTGTCATCCACTTCAGAAAAATATGTTTGATGTTCTCTCGTTTCTCGCTTTTCGCATTCTGTATGTACTTCCGATGTTTGGCATTACTTTTGGTAGTTTATGTCGAATAAGTCCTCAGTATTCTTGTCGTCTGCCAGCTACGAATTTCGCTGGACAAGGAGCGAACTAAGCACAATAACCAAAGGAAGAACAGTAATCAACCTGTGAAAACACACGAGATGAGCGTAGGCAGACAAACAGGCTATAACTCATTGCTACAGTGCCCAAAACAAGAGTTTTGCTAGCGGCGCTAACGTCAGTTGGCCGATTTCATCTTCGGGTCTCCATAACATCACTAATGGGAGAGTTAGCTGTAGTGATAAATAATTCCTCAAAATTATTAGTCTACAGTACAATTCCCTTATGTTAGGTGGTGACCTTTACTGTTTCAGTTGCCCTTTTAGTCCGAAGGTCTGCGACAAAGCATACTCCCCATTGGCATGCTGTTTTGTTACTTTCGATCGTTCGTACACAATTACTAGCTAGTTAAACGATCCTCATTGTTCTGCGTTTCTAATCACGAAACATTTCTGGTTTTCGGACGATCAATGCTTTCTCATGAATTGACTTTAATCTCAATATCAACAGTATTTTAGAATCTACAAGGTAAATGCTTGTCTTTGCATACGGCGTTTATAGCACAAACAACAAAATCCTTCATCTCCCGAAATGTTTTCCGGAAGTATCTTCGGTAGTGGAGTAATGAATTAAGCGACGAAGTAGAGAAATGAAAGAAAGATCCTTGTGAAACAATAGAGGAAAGCTTGGGAGGAAGACGAATAACTTTTGCGGACACAAGTTTCATTGTAATGTTTCTTTGGTTTTCCGTCACTGCATCTCATTTTCCAAGTGAACGATCCTGTTGCCAAATACCATTGAGTTATCTGGTTCCAAACTAACATCAGTGTTACAGCAGAAAACAGTGCTACCTGATGTACTGCTTAAAGCGGAAACGAAACTGGGAATTAGTCTCTTTGAATCTAGCGGAAAACTAGTCACCACATAATGCTGTGTGAATTACAGACAGCAAAACTCCTTGTTTACCAGTTACAATGAATTATAAATCATTTTCATTTGTGAGTGGGTGATGCTTAAGGAAACAGTCTTTCAGGAAAATAAGACAGTTAGTAGGCCCGAACAGTTATCCCACAGCTTTGATAATGTTGATAGTGGTCTAGACGCTTGCTTTTCAGCAAAAGACTGGATCAATACTATCAAAAGTATTACTGTGAATTATAATGACGTTTATTTATAGTCTTTGAAGCTGCAGCATCTTAACCTCTAATCTCTTGAACCCATAAATTTTTCAACCTGTAACTTTCGCTGCTGCAACCATTCGTGCCGTGGTTTTCTTGTTGTCCTGGTATACAATCAGTGGAAAATTAAACCATATCCGAGTCTCCAGTTTTTCTCCCGTCACTTTTTAGCTGGTCGCATTTCATTGAATTCTAAGTTGCGTCTATCGGCCTTCTAACAACAGCACCAGCCTCGGGATCCGTAGGTTGACAATCTCTGATGCTGACACACAGCTTTTATCTCTCAACACTGTGTGCTGACCTTCATTATTTCATTCGAATTATTAGGCCGGGGATACATGGTCGAGCATCCATGCCATTTGGCATTCTGTCGTGCCCGATTCGGTTTTACATGCGCACACCATGGATAGTTAAGCAGTCATCACGATAGTGCATATCTGACCCCGAAATACAATTTGAATTTCCAATAATTAATTTGTTGCTCTTATATGCCGATGGTCTCAGTAAGACAATTACTTAGGCAGTCACAGGATAAGCACTGGCATTTGTGTGAAGCTTATCTAGCGTACAGGTCGGCATCCTTCAGTCACCTAGTTAACAAAGTGCACATTCTGAAAACCAACTGCACAATTTCGCTCTCCTGTATAGTTTCAGTCCCCGAGACATTAATAACTGCCAAACCTTACATGGATTCTTAATTTGAACTGTTTCAACTACTTCGCATAGCCTGCAGTGCCCCCATATAAACCATAACTGAACGCTTATAAAACTAATCCATGCACCCATATTATAACTTCACATCTTATGTATACCTACTAAATATTCCCCAATGCGTAAATGGACACTGGTTTTCAGTTGCTTTATTTATACTGTGCGCAGTTACAAACGCTCACTTTTGTTTCGTATGCTCTGAAGGTCGGTTTCGCATACTGTACATTTCCCCAAGTTAAAGTTGTGCTTTTTAATACAAAAATGTTCGTATTTGACAGTAGACAGAATTTAGCACATGGCAGAACGTGGAGAAATTATTGCGATACAGCATACTAATTGCAGTCAG